TGAAGTAGTTCAAGAGACGTGGTGCGCAGTAGACTGTTTGACTCGCGAAACACATTATCATTCCTGTCAAATTTATCAGAGGAGATTTCCGATGGATAAATCACCCCTATTCATACACAATTTCACGAACGCATCAATTCTCCTCTAGCTCTAGTAGATATCTGAAGTATGTGGACTTGTAACCTACTCTACCCTGGGTAAAATACCCCAACATGACACAGACGACACCAAGGGACATAACTCGTTATACGTTAAACCGATTCATTATCGATAGTATTGAATATGGAACCCAACAGAAAAAACACACTTTTTTTTCTTGTTTAGATTCAAACAGAAAATAACATTTTTTTTCTATTTCATTGTTTACCTTAAGTAACCCTTCCTTTTTGCTTCATACATAGCCTGGATCAGTAGAATACAATCGTAAAAATATGTTCCAGCAGAATCGTAGAATGAAACTTGGTTAATGTATTATTTGTAACTCATTATTAGTAGAATAATAATTTGTTGATAGTTTATACACTTAGAAATATTTGTATTGATTGTACCATAAGAATTGATCTGGTTTATAATTTTCACCAGTGAAATTTACGTCGTTTGGTTTGTACCAGTAAGATTGACCTGTTTTATAATTTGTACCGGTATAATTAACGTGGTTTATTTTGTACCAGTAAGATTGACCTGTTTTTATAATTTGTACCGGTATAATTAAAGTGGTTTATTTTGTACCAGTAAGATAGACCTGTTTTATAACTTGTACCGGTATAATCAGCGTGGGTAATTTTGTACCAATAAAATTGACCTGTTTTATAATTTGTACCGGTATAATTAACGTGGTTTAGTTTGCATCAGTAAGATTGATCTGTTTTATAATTTGTACCGGTATAATCAACGTGGTTTATTTTGTACCAGTAAGATTGACCTGTATTATAATGTGTACCGGTATAATTAACGTGGTTTATTTTGTACCAGTAAGATTGACCTATTTTTGATTTGTACCGGTAAAATTAAAGTGGTTTATTTTGTACCAGTAAGATTGACCTGTTATATAATTTGTACCAGTATAATTAACGTGGTTTATTTTGTACCAGTAAGATTGACATGTTTTATAATTTGTACCGGTATAATCAACGCGGTTTATTTTGTACCAGTAAGATTAACCTGTTTTATAATTTGTACCGGTATTATTAAAGTGGTTTATTTTGTACCAGTAAGATTGACCTGTTTCATAATTTGTACCGGTATAATTAACGTGGTTTATTTTGTACCAGTAAGAGTGACCTGTTTTTATAATTTGTACCGGTATAATTAACGTGGTTTATTTTGTACCATAAAAATAACCTGGTTTATAATTTGTACCGGTATAATCTACGTGGTTTATTTTGTACCAGTAAGATTGACCTGTTTTTATAATTTGTACCGGTATAATTAACGTGGTTTATTTTGTACCAGTAAGATTGACCTGTTTTATAATTTGTACCGGTATAATTAAAGTGGTTTAGTTTGTATCAGTAAGATCGACCTGTTTTATAATTTGAACCGGTATAATTAACGTGGTTTATTTTGTACCAGAAAAATAACCTGGTTTATAATTTGTACCGGTATAATCAACGTGGTTTATTTTGTACCAGTAAGATTGACCTGTTTTATAGTTTGTACCGGTATAATTAACGTGGTTTATTTTGTACCAGTAAGATTGACCTGTTTTATAGTTTGTACCGGTATAATTAACGTGGTTTATTTTGTACCAGTAAGATTGACCTGTTATATAATTTGTACCGGTATAATTAACGCGGTTTATTTTGTATCAGTGAGATCGACCTGATTTATCATTTGAACCGGTATAATTGACGTGGTTTAGTTTCTACCAGAAAAATAACCTGGTTTATAATTTGTACCGGTATAATTAACGTGGTTTATTTTTAACCAGTAAGATTGACCTGTTTTATAATTTGTACCGGTTTTTTTGTTTTAAACATATTTTATTGTCTTTTTTTCATAGCAATGGAATTGGGCACAAGTCTTATAATTTGTACCGGTATAATTCACGTGGTTTATTTTTAACCAGTAAGATTGACCTGTTTTATAATTTGTACCGTTTTTTTTGTTTTAAACATATTTTATTGTCTTTTTTTCATAGCAATGGAATTGGGCTCAAGTTTTATAATTTGTACCGGTATAATCAACGTGGTTTATTTAGTACCAGTAAGATTGACCTGTTTTATAATTTGTACCGGTATAATTAAAGTGGTTTATTTTGTACCAGTAAGATTGACCTGTTTTATAATTTGTACCGGTTTTTTTGTTTTAAACATATTTTATTGTCTTTTTTTCATAGCAATGGAATTGGGCACAAGTTTTATAATTTGTACCGGTATAATTAAAGCGGTTTATTTTGTACCAGTAAGATTGACCTGTTATATAATTTGTACCGGTATAATTAACGTGGTTTAGTTTCTATTCTACCATAAAAATTGACCTGGTTTATATTTTGTATCAGTCAAACTGAACTAGTTTATGATTTGTATCAGTCGAGTAACCTGGTTTAATGTGTGTGCTACTATAATAACCTGGTTTATATTTGAACCACGAGAAAAACCTGGTTTATATATTATACCAGTATAACTATAGTTTCTAACAACATAATTAACCATGGTCTCTAGTTTACCTGTATAGCTATAGTTTATACCAATAGAATTAACCATGGTCTATAGTTACCAGTATAACTATCGTTTATAACAATAGAGTTAACCATGGTCTATAGTTTACCTTTATAGCTATAGTTTATACCAAAAGAATTAACCATGGTCAATAGTTTACCAGTATAGCTATAGTTTACCTGTATAACTATAGTTTATACCAATAGAATTAACCATGGTCTATAGTTTACCTGTATAACTATAGTTTATACCAAAAGAATTAACCATGGTCTATAGTTTACCAGTATAACTATAGTTTATAACAATAGAGTTAACCATGGTCTATAGTTTACCAGTCTAACTCTATAGTTTACCAGTACAACTATAGTTTACCTGTACAACTATAGTTTACCTGTATATCAATAGTTTATTCCGATAGAATTAACCATGGTCTATAGCTTACCAGTATAACTTTTTAGTTTACCAGTATAATTATAGTTTATACCAATAGAATTAGCCGTTGTCTATAGTTTACCAGTATCGCTATAGTTTACCTGAATAGCTATAGTTTACGCAATGGAATTGGGCACAAGTTTTATAATTTTTACCGGTATAATCAACGCGGTTTATTTTGTACCATTAAGATTGACCTGCTTTATAGTTTGTACCGGTATAATCAACGTGGTTTATTTTGTATCAGTGAGATCGACCTGATTTATCATTTGAACCGGTATAATTAACGTCGTTTATTTTGTACCAGTAAGATTAACCTGTTTTATAATTTGAACCGGTATAATTAACGTCGTTTATTTAGTACCAGTAAGATTGAACTGTTATATAATTTGTACCGGTATTATTAAAGTGGTTTATTTTTAACCAGTAAGATTGACCTGTATTATAATGTGTACCGGTATAATTAACGTGCTTTATTTTGTACCAGAAAAATAACCTGGTTTATAATTTGTACCGGTATTATTAAAGTGGTTTATTTTGTATCAGTGAGATCGACCTGATTTATCATTTGAACCGGTATAATTAACGCGGTTTATTTTGTACCATTAAGATTGACCTGCTTTATAGTTTGTACCGGTATAATTAACGTGGTTAAGTTTGCATCAGTAAGATTGATCTGTTTTATAATTTGAACCGGTATAATTAACGTCGTTTATTTTGTACCAGAAAAATAACCTGGTTTATAATTTGTACCGGTATAATTAAAGTGGTTTATTTTTAACCAGTAAGATTGACATGTTTTATAATTTTTACCGGTATAATCAACGCGGTTTATTTTGTACCATTAAGATTGACCTGCTTTATAGTTTGTACCGGTATAATCAACGTGGTTTATTTTGTATCAGTGAGATCGACCTGATTTATCATTTGAACCGGTATAATTAACGTCGTTTATTTAGTACCAGTAAGATTGAACTGTTATATAATTTGTACCGGTATTATTAAAGTGGTTTATTTTTAACCAGTAAGATTGACCTGTATTATAATGTGTACCGGTATAATTAAAGCGGTTTATTTTGTACCATTAAGATTGACCTGCTTTATAGTTTGTACCGGTATAATCAACGCGGTTTATTTTGTACCATTAAGATTGACCTGCTTTATAGTTTGTACCGGTATAATCAACGTGGTTTATTTTTAACCAGTAAGATTGACCTGTATTATAATGTGTACCGGTATATTTAACGTGGTTTATTTTGTACCATTAAGATTGACCTGCTTTATAGTTTGTACCGGTATAATTAAAGTGGTTTAGTTTGTATCAGTAAGATCGACCTGTTTTATAATTTGTTCCGGTATAATTAAAGCGGTTTATTTTGTACCATTAAGATTGACCTGCTTTATAGTTTGTACCGGTATAATCAACGCGGTTTATTTTGTACCAGAAAAATAACCTGGTTTATAATTTGTACCGGTATAATCAACGTGGTTTATTTTTAACCAGTAAGATTGACATGTTATATAATTTGTACCAGTATAATTAACCATGGTCTATAGTTTACCAGTATAGCTATAGTTTACCAGTATAACTATATAGTTTACCAGTATAGCTATAGTTTACCTGTATAGCTATAGTTTACCAGTATAGCTATAGTTTACCAGTATAGCTATAGTTTACCAGTATAACTAGTTTACCAGTATAGCTAGTTTACCAGTATAACTATAGTTTACCAGTATAACTTTATAGTTTACCAGTATAGCTATAGTTTACCTGTATAGCTATAGTTTACCAGTATGACTATAGTTTACCAGTATAGCTATAGTGTGTACCAATATAATTAACCATGGTCTTTGGATCTCCCGCTGCATTCCTCGTGTTGATAAACTTTATAATAAGTCAACAAATAATCAGTGTAAACCTTCAATTTTATTGGGTTTTTCTTTCTTCTTTTTGTTTTACATTATTTTTTTCTATTTCAGTGTCAACAAGAAATAGTTTTTTGACAACACAACAAAGTTGCACTTGATGAACCATGATAAATGGAAACAAGTTGATGAGCGTTTTGAGTCTTTGCACTGTTTTAACTTCTAAAAGTTGATTTACACACTTTCATTTACATTCCTCTTGTTCTCCATACAAAAACACATACATTCCGGTACACATTCACCATTTCATTCAAACATGCAGAACAAATCTTGTAAACTTGCTTACTCAACTCAGTCGAGCATCATTCTCATCTTTCATATCCTGACTAAACCTTTCCAATTTGAACACATTCCTGATTCTGAAACTACACAACTAAAACTTCAATAATGACAAATTAATCAAAATTAATTCCAGGTTTGGTTTTCACCAAAGATGATTGTGACTCAACATAAAAATGAGATCGTTTTAAAATCGGGATTCATCTGGATCAGTAAAGATGGTAAATGACATGGAAGTCTGGGTACTTAAGTTGAAAATAGTTTTTTGAAAACATTCCATGATTAAGCAGAATAACATATAAGTCACTTACCACCGATTTATAATAAACTAAAGGATATCCGTTTGATTTCCTGGAAAATTGTCCAACAACAGCAAAAGGATGTAAAAAATTGAAAAGAAAAATCTCAAAAATTTTGAAAATGCACAAAAAAGGAAAACAAGAGAGAGGATGAAGGCAAGAAATTATTTGTTATAAATAAATTAAAAATTTATTACTTTTTATTGCGTTTAAAATCAAAATGTCTAGAAATAGTAACCGTTTCCACATTTCATACCAACTGTTTTTCAAGTTCAGCCAACATTTGTTTGTATTGTTTTTTTAATGTGTAAAATATTTACATTTTAATTAAATAATTTTATTCTGACAACACAAGTCAGACTGAACGTCATAAATATAGGTCTTCTTATTTGCTTTCACAAATATTTCATGTAATACATATATTATATACATTTTACTTAATTTTAAGTTAGAACATAATTTAAGGCAAACAATAAATAAAATGATAATATGCAAATGAGATCGGCCACAGCATTGCCGGCTAAACCTGGTCGAGGTTAGCCAGCAGCTGCAGTTACACAATATATAGAATTGCACAAGGGTTTAAACTTTTCGTCACAAACTTGGAAAATGAGGGCAGTGTATTATGGGACACACAATAACACAAGATAAAAAACATTTTTCGCTCCACAAAGATATAAATAAAAAATATTTCTCCCAAAGATGTATACATATTTTTCGCCTTTGGCATCTGTGCCCGGTTTTTTCAGTTGTAAATACCAGATGGGGTAGTTTTTGGAATGATTTAAAGTTTATTGAGAAAAAATGTATACCATCCGATGGTATGTTTTGTAGTTTTCACTCGTGGATAAAAATTAGTTAGTAATAGTTCGGCTATCCAACTATCAATATTTAAAACATTTACACCATATTTAGTAACATCAATTTTTGTTTTGTTTTGACATAATCCATCTTCATATATATAGGGTCTCCGGTGGCGACATCTACTGGGCACGCAGAGAACAAGGTACAGGGTAGACAAATCAAGGATGAAAAATATTGAATTTTCTAACATAACAAGAAATAATGCAATAATCATATTTTCATGAATGAAAAGCAAAATTATGAATTACTTTTTGTTTCATATGGCGGGGTCATTTTATTTTTCAAAACCACTACGGCAAGACGTATGAAAGTTCAAATTTTGGCCAAGAATATTGGTGAAATCATGCGCACGGATCCTGCCGCGCTAGGAGTCAATACTTCTGGTGGTCCTTGAATTTACACTGGGTCCAAATTCACTATTGGCAAGTTTGGTCACAATGTGTCCAGTGCTTTTTCTGGGTAATGGAAGACTTTGTCCTGTGTCCAGACGGACAATAAATAATCTTCTGTCCATTATTGTCTGGCTGCCCTCCATACCGCCTCTGTCCTCTCCTTGACTGACTGGCTGGAACATATCTCCAGCAACAAAGCACTTCTGTTTGCAAAATCTGTAATGATACAAAATAGATACCACATTAGTTACAGCACTGTGGAGTACTCTCTGTACAATAAACACATACTTCACATGGTAACACCTGATCATAGGCACGAAAACATGCAGTGAACTGCACTCGGTGACTCCCCAACACCAAATTAAAATGATAATGTATACAGTACGCAGCCTACATGGATATTCAGCCATTTGAATCCAGACCTCAAACAAACACGAATATGCTTAACAACTTAATTTGATCTAAATTTTGGATGTATTTTACATGTGAATTTGATTTTAACATATCTCCACTTTTATGTGCATAGCTTGCCTAACTTTTTATTTTTTTAAATTAAACGGAAACAAGCTGAAACTATATTTAATTTAAGTTTTTGTATATATTGGTCACTCTCCTAAACCCTGAAAATCTTTGCAATTTACATGTCACAAATTAAGTTTCACAAAAAGTCTCTCAAAACATTTACAACAGCGGTGTCAGGTTTTGTCCCTAAAAGGCCCCCATTTACTGCCGATTTCCCCCCAAATGGAGCCCCAGGTTTTATCACCAAGCGATCTCTCCAGCAGTCATTCAATGTCTTTGTAGGATACGCTACCATGTCGGGAGGGCATTACTCCTAAAACGGGTCAAGCTTTATGCAAATCAGTTTACCAGAGTCTACTATAACTACTACTACTACGTTTTGTGTATGTAGTAAATACACACAGTATGTGTGTGTGTATATATATACGCTTTCACTCTTGATCATCTGTCATGGCCGAGCCCGCTGGAGCGTGTTTTTTCCCCAGATCTGGGCCAGTAGCCATCTCGGGTTAAACCGGCCCACGGCCATAGCTCATTAATCTTCCCTTCATGTAGCCTTACCCCTGCGGTGGCTCTTACACACAATCATACTTCATTGATAGTAATGTGTATTGCCACCATGCAAAATTAACATCATTGAAAATTTCCTTATTTGTAACCTCCCAAGATTTCGTGTTTTGTGTATAATACTCTTGCAATATATTAAGAAAATTATGCATGTGTATTTGAATAAATGTACATAAATGAATGTTATTAAAATCCTGTGTCAGGTTTCCAGGGCATTTCGTTATTATTAAATATGATGTTTTCAAGCTGATTGTTTAAAGCAAAAACTGTACCGAAATTTGCTTCAACCTTTCATCAAGCCTGAAGCATGTCCAGCTTTCGCAGGACACCTCAGCTGACCACAGCCTAGAAAATGTCACCATGATGAATGGGACTGGACAGGCATTAACACTTTCAACACTAACAGAACAACGGACGGCCCTGTTCACTAATGACACTGGCCAGCTACCATGGCCGCAGGTCAAATAATGGGACCTTCCTCTTTACTGTTATAAGCACTGCAGTTCTTTTTTTTTATCTCTCACACGAAAGGCATTTTCCCACGAGTTGCCATAAAAGAGATTTTATTCCTGGGTTTTTACTATATTACGACTCGTGATATGTCTGTCTATGATAACTAATTAACTGTAACTTTATATATATTGAAGTTGAGGGGTTACTAAATGCAACTGTTCAACTTAAACCGATAACCATTTTAATTGTTGCAGTGTTTCCACAGTATTTTGCAATTTTTGAATATGTTTAGAAATATATAGCTAAAATGGGGAAGCAAAAATTTATTTAATATGAAGACACTTACACAAAACTTTTATTAATTCAATAGCTTGCGTTCCTAATGAGACCAATATTTCTACAAAGCAGCTACAACAGGACTAAGTATCAAAGATTGCAATCAAATACTAGAAATCTAACATTGTATTATCAATATACCAGTGGATTTCTGGGCGAAGGTTCGTAACCCAGATTCGCTACCACACAGGGTGTTAATTATCTTAATTCTGTTTACTATTGCCATGACGATGCCATCAAATCATACATGTTCGATATGTGATGTTTAAATATTTATCCTAGTGTAGGCTAGCTGGTCACGAATATCTTATGCAATTCACCATCAGTCAAAAACCGCCTATGTCTGCATGGATAGATAGTAGTTGTATATTGATTAGTATGGAACTATGGTCTAAATGATGCCTACCTGTATATGCTAAAGGTTTCTCTTTATTCCAGCCTTCTTGTTTTGCTTGATGTGGTGCTTGATGCAGATTGGGTAACAGCTCTTTTTCGTTTCCTCAGAAATGCTAAAAACAAAAGTAGAAGTGTTATTAATATGTTAATCAATATATGTGCATGTAAATGTTAATTTCAACTTGAAATTAAAAAAAAAATGTTTGAAACAAAATTGACCATTACGAAAATATTCTATCTAGACTTCAAAAGAGTAATTAATCTAAATTGCTGATGTTGCATAAACGTGTTTCCAACACAATATTCAACAATGTATTTTAGTATACATTGTTGCACAATGAAATACTATGTTGTTCATTTATTGTCCAATTAACTAACCCTTCTAACTCAATACACGATATTGATCCATTTTCGACATACATTACTGTTCATTTCCATGGAGCAGAAACAAACATCAGGGGAAAATACGATTACATGGGGCGGGAAACGAACAATACATGGAAAATCATGTGATTGTATTCGTGTAAACCTGTACACATACTACTAGTATTTAAACCTCCCATGAATGAACGTGTACGATCTTGGCGACAAACCTATCTGTGCCTGTACTTCGTACCTGCCAGGACATGTCCTCGACACTCGCCAATCATGACACACGGCAGCCAGATTTGAATGGCGCAAATATTGCTTCCCGCAATTCATATCCAAACATGTTTTCATTTAAATACCCGCGTACAATAAAATCAGCTGTGAACGAACATGTGCTTTACCTTCCCCACCAAAATATGAAAATTGTGAAATTGATGTATTGAACATGCGAGAGTGTCCCCTAGCTACAGTAGTATCCCAAATAGCGATTAAAAAGCGAAATGCATAATTTTGGGACATTGCCACATTTTATTGTTTACGTTCGTAGTGAAAACAACACGATATAATCAAGATGGCCGTCAACATCAAAACCATTGCACATATGGTTATCATTAATCGCAAGCACGATTTTCTCAGCGCCCTGACGCTATCTGGGGCCGCTACTACGCGAATTTACAACCGAGAATGTGTGTCACAACTGATACGGGCGTGATTCTCCCGAACTAGGTCAGGGAAACACAGCAATACTCGACATAAACACTCTACTACGTAACCCCAAACCACTGGCAAAACACCCAACAAAATACCCGACTGAAGCTATCAGAGCTACATTTAAGGACGGGGTCATAGCGGAGTGCAGGTGAAAGGGTTTGCGTTTAAATCGTACATAAAATGGAATACACATCGGCCTAGGGAAAATAGACAGGTCATTTCCCATCCCAAAACAGTCAAGCGGTTACTTACCATCCATGTGCGTTTGTTTAAGTTTCTCTGGGTTTGGTGTAGAATTATTTTTACAATCCTCGGAGTTATTGCACTTTTCCTGACTAGATAAAACACTGTCCTCGTCGCTAGTAGCACTATGTGTGGATAGTCCTTGTATACATTCATCGTCACTATCATCACTGTAGCCCCTACAGGGGAAGCGGGCACACGGTAAACGTGGTAACACTCGTCGGAATTTTGATGTATATCCTCTTTTGTAGAATTCCGGACAATCTGATGCTGGTTCCCAAACCAACGGTCCATCCTCTGGAACATCATTCACTATGTCATAGTTCCAACGAGATTTAGCCTCCGCACAATCTCTGGCATACAAATTTGACACCTCAGCCTTAAGGCTGTCCTTTTCGGGTTTTCCGAATAAACACCGCCTTACTCTCGATACATCCATGGTTTTGTTGTTTGTAATGTTGATATTTTCCTTGAGCTGTACCACGGCGAGCATCTTTGAAGCTATCATTGAAAATAGAGCTCCAAGTTAATACGTCTGATCACACTGAGAGTTACACACCGTTCTGTTTCAAGTCCAGACAAGTAGTCGGTAATCAAACGGACGCTCGACAGTGTCAGCCAATCAGAGGCCAGCTGCATATATGTCCCGCCTCCTCTAACTCCGATGGGCGGAGCGACTTGTCACATGATATGGTAGGGTGATTGATAGTGTAGCGTATACGGTAGTATTGTGAATCATACTATGTTTATATTTACAGTAATACTCACCGATGCATATGCAAATTTGTTTGTTTGTAAACAAAGAAATACGGCATTTTGAAAGGTTTAAAGTGTACAATATTCACAAAAAGCACGGAAATAATGCTTTCTTAAACATCTTTTATTTAAAAACCCTTAGAGAAGCATATATATCTTGAAACTGATTTGCATTTTGTAAATGACGATCGGCGGCTAAAAATAGACACATTTTTAGCGTGTTGGTACTTGCTCTGCTCACGTGAATTCACTGAACTGTGGCAAATACAAACTGTATAGTTTCTTCTTTTCCCCCCGATTCATTTAACAAAACGAGTGCATACGTCCCCGGTACTGGAAAATCAGTCTTTGCTAAGTACCAGTAAACTTTTAAAGGTTTATCTTTAACACTTTTAAATTGGTTCGTGCCTCCTTAACAATTTAAACCAGCGAACTGCATATATTGTGTTGTGAAATTTTTCTTTAACTACAAATATTATTCCGTGTAATTATCTGTTTAAACCACGGAATAAGATTGCTATCCATGTCCGTGGTTTAAACTGACTGTGTGTTAACTTAGAAGATTTGATAGCAATATAACAACTTAACTTTTTGTTAGCCACCAGTACACTTAAACTGAAGATAATTGTGTGTTCTTTACATACTGACATTATAAAAGCGATTCTCACTATACGTCAGTGTACACTGCATTTCAATAAATGAGGTATTGATGAGAATAGTTATATATATTCATATACCGATAGGGTAGTGGAAATTAATAGTTCAATAAAAAGAGTTTTGAATATATATGTATCCTCATAATTTTGATACTAGATAGTATTTAACCAAAATTTGATAAATTATTGCTGATTGACGAACAGTTTTTTGATAATCAATCATAAGGAAATCAAAATTCTGTATTTATTTATTAAAGACCATGTTTCATCGCGAAATTTTAGTTATTAACACAACGGAATAGACAAAAGTTTTACCGATTTTCGAAGTTTGTGTAAAAAGGAAGTTCACTACGGAGTGTCTAGACGAGGGGCAATGGAGTATATATAGGTAAAGAAAGCTTAACCTTGACGAACCAATGAAGGGGGAAACAATTTGTAAAATCCCATTATACACATGTGTACCACATATAATGTATACGTGACAGAAATATTGTGTCAAGGGAGATAACTCGTACGAATTAACAAACGAGAATCAGTTAGTTACTAATGTCTTCTTGAACATAGAAGTGGATCAGCAAAATCACTAAATTGTTATGCGTTTAATAATTCTGACGTCTATATCAGAGCACAATCGATTTTTTTATATTGAATCAATCCATTGTTAATATAATTCCTTACACAAAGAAAATCGATCGCATAACCAGAAGAGCAGATGTCGCCATGCGTTGTCACTAGTTATTGATTAATAAAAATCTCTTTCTTTTCATTCATGAATTCATTCTTGTTTCGTTGGACTCACACTCCCTTCTATATCGATCTAAAACGGAAACCCGTTATTTATGGTTTACATGTGTGATGAAGTCATATCATATATTCAGAAGAGGACTGTTTTTAAAATAAGAAAAAAATATGCTATCCTTTTTTTCTCTATAATTTATTTATAAAATTACTAAAGTAGACATGCAATTCTTTTACAATGATATATGTATTAAAATCACTTCGGATAAAAGCGTATTCTAGAAAATGACAGATTTTTGAGGATTACTCAAAAGATTAACAAGTAAATCAAAATTATTTAAATGATGAAAGTCAAAACAGAGTGATATTTGATACAGCATTGTGTCATTAATCATCATAACGCACACAATTATCCTGATAATGACGGGTAGGTGTGAATTAATGTTCAATTGCAACACTTTAATTGAGATGTTGAATTAAACACCTGTTTATCACACAATTCAACACATTGTACATGCAATTTATCAATTAAAACGATAATTTGCAGTAATTAAAAAAAAAAAAGATTTTAAATTCGCCTTTGATTCAGATTCAGATTATTTATCAGCCAAGAGCCATACGACTCACATGATTACCTAAGGGCACAAAGTACAAATACGCAAAATATTTGAAGAAGCTGTGATGTTTCAATTGTGTCGCAGGGTGATAGTTTAAGTGTGTTATTACGGTATCCTGCTGTGAATTGGAGCAGTACTTCATTGGGTGTTACAACAATTAATATTAAAAATCACAACCATTAAAAAAGTCACCAAAAGTACCACTCAATATGTATACTGTATGCTTAATGAGGGTATAGGAGTAATGCTTACACATATGTTGTTTAGTGACTAGTCTAATAGAGGTACTGGACTCTCAACCGGGAGACAAAGACAGGTTGTATTGACGGGCGACAGATGGTGCTGTACTGCGGACGCGTGGCGGTCCCTGACAGTGGCTAAATAACACTCACTTCCTGGAATCCTTACGTTAGGAAGGTTGTGATGATGAGCAGCACGGACGCCCTAATATACATAGCAATATTCGGGGTTTTGATTAATTAACAAGATAGGGCCGGCCCATGACACGTGTAGCTTGATGAATATTGGCGAGCACAATGGTAGATTACTCAGATACGTATTTGACAATACATAGCCTGATGCTTTCCGGTTATGTATATATATAGAATACACGTGTCAATATGTCTGAAACTGGCGAAATCACACGTGTCATTAATTAATTTAGTCAGATTGCGTTTAAGATACAAAATTACTTAAATTACAGAACTTCTAGCTTTTATATTGTTTAATTTGTGCTTATTTTTGCTACCAACTTCTTTAGTGGTCAGGCCTTCCCTTCCATATTCTTCCGTACAAAGACAAGTTGTTCGAGTATAATACGATGATTTTTATACTGTAGACATTTCCCCGTTTGTTGCTAGTTTGAAATTATCGATATTTTTGTGTTCTTTTCCAGACAGATACTGTGTCACATTCGGGAGACAGATTGACTTGTGTCCGCCCTTTTGTACGACAAAAGTGTCGCTTCCGATAGCCAGTCTTCAGTGTTGACATAGGACCATGTTCATGTCAGACAGTCCCGATATCATGTCTAAGGTATCCCATATGTTCTGTAACCTCAGCTGTGTATTAATAACAACTTACTGTACACCATGCCTACGTGCAAACATGGACACTTCAGTTTGAATATGTCAGCATCTCTCATGTATAACAAAAATAACATTCTTCCAAATTAACAAATATTTAAAAACGACGAAAAGGCACATACTTTACCGAAGAAGTACAAAAAAGAAGAAGTTTGAATATGTGACGAACTATCTTCTTTGCGGATAAACACCATAATTTAAAAAAAAAAAAACCCATTGCGGATCTGCTTGAAAAAACTATAGTTCAGAAAATTAAAAAAACTCCACTGATTGATTCAGAAATCGCTTATAACTCGGTGATTATTTACAACAAATTGCAAGTAATATACAATCAGTTTTGGTTTCCTTTGAAAATTCCGCTAATTTCTAAAATTTGTGAGAGTGTTTGTATTCAGAAATACGAGTAGATAGTATAAATCTGGTTATATATCTTAGTGGAGGTTGTAAGAGTGTCGAATGTCAGGACCAGGCTTTGATCTCGGATAGTTTTAATAGAAACAGGTTAGGAGGGCCGTCTCGTGATAATACATCCATCAATCTACAAATTGGTATCAATCCTCTTATCACTAATTACCTCAGATAATTACCACGCGCAAATTACCGAAAGTCTCGCGCTCACGCTCAAACCAATTTTTGTCCTGCTGTGAGAATTTTATCTTGAAGTTGTCCAGACTTGGTTGTGTCCAGTCTCGGTCAGTTGCTGGTCACTCCGTTTCCTATGATGATATATCATATTTCCCCGCCCCCTCGTCTAATCTCATCACAGCTTATTTAGAGTATACCCACCTTTTTATTTCAGACTTATAGCACGTACTAATCGAAGGAGAATGTTCATATTAAAACTAATGTTTTCGTCGATATTCATTTGCGAGGAGTCGTGAATCTTCTTGTATTATTTTCGCGAAAACCACGAAGGAGACCGCGTAAAAATATAGTACGTGCTTCAAACATTAGTTGTCAATTTAAATAATATATATTTATGTTTATTTGTACATTAAAAGATACAAGAAACGCTATTGCCAAACACGGAGTCCTAACAAGGCAATATAAATACAAATAAGGGAATAAATATACACTATATGATGGTTATAATTGATATTTTATTCAGTCCAAATGGGTGTTTCCAATTTTCGGTAATATTTTCAGTTGAAAGTAAAAACAAAATTATGGTTACCATCCCAGCACCAAAGGTCTGAACATAATACAACCAGCGAAATTAAAAACATTTTTCTTCTGCCTGGATTTGTGACGGTCGTTTAACTCAAAAGTGTATAGAAAGGGTCTTAAACGTATTCCATTACAGTGAGCTTTAGCAAGTTTCATGAAACTAGACGAATGGAGAACGAGTTTGAGATTGGTTTTCCTTATAAATATATTTAAACCAGAAAAGGAAAGACAAACACCACCAGGACCCGGTTGACCGACAGGATCCCAATTATATTTCCTATAAAGTTGTGACGTCATCGTATTAACTTGTGACGTCAGATGCATGAACATAATACTATTGACAGATTGAAAGATAAGTGATACATCAAGGTAAGATAACTCCATACAGCACAACAACTGACACACGGAAATGAATAATTATAAAAAAAATATGTCAAGAAAACATACTTTTTCTTCCGTTTCTGCGTTTTATAAACAACCTACTGTTGCTATTGCAATGTCAGTTTCGGTGCTTTTGGTACTAAAATCGCGGATAAGTGATGAGAAAAAAAAATGTATGTAGG